GGATAAAATGAACCGGAGGTTTCATTTGTTTGCCGGTGCTGCTGCCTTTGACGAACCGATGCCGTCGATGTACAAACACAGGCAGAGAAAACAGATCTTTGGATTTGGATTTATGTGCACAGAAATGAAAGTCATGAATCATGAAAAAATATTAAAGTATTCCACACAATTCAACTATTAACATCAAATTGAATTCCATCTTTATTTATCAATTTAAAGAAATAATTGATCTTCAGTAATGAAAATTAATCATTCCGAAATTATAGTGCTTTAAGCCTTCAATTATTTCAGGATTAGACAAGTTGAAATTAATTTTTAAGTAAACGAATCATCATTAATCATAAATGAATAAATTTGACTCGATATTTTTTGTTAATAATTCAAAATCAACACATAAAATTTAAATTACATACTTAAAGGTAATAAACACTATGCATTTTTTACTAGTTATTATTTAATTAGAAATATGGGAAACAAATTTGCAACATTAACATGCAGAAAAAATGTTTCAAGTCTGGAAATCGATTTCAACATGCGCATCGCTGTACCGCCGGCATTCTTCCGCTCTTCATCTTATAAATATTGAATCAGGTTCGCCAATTGATTAAAAAAGTTGGATATTTCTGTTTCGGCGGCTAATCCATATTTCTCCGCTTAACAGGCTTAAATAACGCAGAGGGGGCGGAATGAAGCGAGGCCCCTTTCCCGGCAGACAAACTTTCTTTCTTCTCTTCCAGCAGTTAATGTTATTGGCAATTTGCTCATGCAGAAACAATCAAGAAATCAATCTCCCGCCGGTTGTTATGCTAATTCTCAATATGACTCCGTTCCCAGAGGGATTTGTTTCTCCGAGAGAAGAAAAAAACGCTGAGCGTGAAAAAAATAATACAAAACTTGTGCGCTCGGTTCATCCCATCGGGCAATAAAAAATATTTCAACGCATAAATTCGATATTAAGAAGGAGAGAAAGTTGGGCAGTAAAAAAGTTTTTCCAATTTGAATTAATTACAAGAACAAAAACGGAAGCAATCAAAGTCTGCCGTACAGCCGTGCACTTTTTTCTGTTTTTCCTTCCGTCATTAGCAATATTTTTCCGGAGGTGTGATTAAGCCTCAATCAATAATCGGCATCTCCGAGTGGCGCCTTTTTAATATGCAGATGAGCACAAAAAAGCGGCCGCATAAAGTAACAGGGGCGTATAATATCGAAACCCTCCCTTACTTTTCTTATATTATTTTTAAACTATCCCCATTCCGAAGCAATTTGCATACTGAAAAGAGCCGCCGCGCTCTTCTATAGCTATTAATAAAAATTGGTAAGGGTTGTTCCTTCTTTTTTTCTCTCTTTCCCCTGTATCGCAACCTACCTTCATTTTCATCTTTTTTTTCCCGAGCGCGCGGAATTTCGCCGGCGAAATTGATGGTCGAGTATTATGGCTGGATATTAGGCGGCGTGCTGCAAATTGAATGCCGTTGCGCCGCGCTGGATACTGGAGGCGGAAAATTGACCAGGAAATAATAACACTTGAGTGCCACGCGAAAGGAGGGCGCAAAAAAATAATACCTTGAAGTGGCCTGTGGCGCTTCAGAGGGTGAAAAATGTGTCCCTTCCAGAAATAATACGAATAAGTTGCTGTTAAAAAAGGCGGGACTCTTCTGAAATTAAAAATCAGGAGCATTGCATTAAATTGTCTTTTTAAATTCCTATTTCAAAAGAAATTTAAATATCTAGAATAAAAATTTTCTGCTTGTTTTGCAATAAAATTTATTGAATTTTAACAGCTTAAAATTTATAAAATTGAATTGGTAAAATTCCTTTTGGTAAAAAATATCTTTGATAATTTAATCATCTGTGTTCGCTTTCAAATGAAGATTAAAATTGTCTGCGGGTATTTTGCAAGTAATTTAAATATTTTGCTGAAATTTCATTATTTTTGTTCATATAGAATAAAAATTTAATGAGACCTGATTTTGCTTAATCTGTCCCATTGTGTTTTTACTACTTGTAAAAATCATACCGAAATAATCGTTTCATTAAAATATTAAACAAAGAATTACTATTTTTTCCTTTTTTTTATCCTGGCCATTCTAGAACAATGTTTTTGCTAGTGGTGGTAACTTTTTTTTCTAACAATTCAAGTATTTTCCTCCCAACATTTGATAATTTTTCAATAATGTAAATTTTATGTAACAAATTATTCCGATAAAAAAAAAAAAAAAAAAAATAACAGAGAATTTCTACGAACATGTGTCAGCAACCTGGCTAAATTTCGAGTTTGTTGGGCAAAACGCGTCATCAGGCAGCAATGTTGTTCCCTCTCGCTCTTTTATTCCCTTTTTATTTGCTGCTCTGCTGGCAATGGATTCCTCCAATTTGTTACCAGATTGTAATTTATAGGATCATTTTTCGCCGCGCGGATGCGTGGATGGCGCGCGCGAATTGAAGAAAAACCGCGCGTTTCCTTTTCGCTCGAAAGCGCGCCGCTGCTCTTTTGCTCATTACACCGTTTCATTAAACGTGAAAAATGGCCGTCATTTTTAAAATTAAGCGAAACCCATAGCGCGCGGGGGAGGCAAAACTGCTGCCGCGGTGCTATTTTAAATTGAACCATCAACCTAATCCGGAGTATTGCTTAATTTAAATGGACCGCGCCATAAATTATTGATATTAAGCGGCGCAAATCTATCTCCGCTGAAAATAATCCGGAGATAAATAAAAAGAGAATAAGAAACGCCACCCCTGCTTCTCTCCAGTCGTATATATATATAAAAAGCGGGTGGTTTACGATTTGAAAAATAAAAAGTGGGGTCTTTGCCAAAATGGCATGTTTACGGCGGAGGAAAGCGAATTTGTAATTTTACTCGGGAATTTTTACGCTAATTATTCCCGTCGGGGCCGAGTAAGAAAAGGGTTGTTATTGGACAGGAATTGCCACGTTTCGCGACTGCATGGCTAATTAAAAAATAACCGGCCCGGGACGTAATTAGATTTTTCTTTGTAAGCCAAGCGAATTAAATTTTTCCGCGTTTTTATTGCGGCGCGAATAAACTCGCCGTTTTTATGTCTTGTATCAGCCGGGATAAATTGGATTTAATTATGCATCCGTGTAAAATCTAATTTTCATGAGAGGCACCCCCACTTGCCCTCCATTCTCACACCGTCTGGCTTGCAGTCGTCTCTCTTAAACCAGGGAAGAAAGTCCATCACTCTCTCAAAAACGTCCTGTAAATTTTTGATGGACTTTATTCTATTATAAACTAAAATTACAATTTTGTATCAGAATTTTTAGCTGAAAAAATTGTTTTTAGTTTTAATTTAGTAAGAATAAATGAAAATTATAAATAGATGTTTTTTATTTAAATTAAATGATAATATCGCATTTAATATATTATTTTTTTTACTTAGTTCTAATTGTTCTAATTATATGGATTACACATTATTGATACCTCGTAAGTAAACCAAACTCAATTTAACACCAAAATTCATGTAAAAATATTAATATTGGCCTACGGTTAACCAGGATAATGATGAAATTCTAAGAAAATTGAAATAGATGTTGGTTGCAAGGATATTGATAATAATTTTTTTTAAATATCTACAAAAATAACTATACTGTATTGTATCAAGCGCAAATACTTGACGCCATCCATTAAACAATTATTATTTAGTGCCTGTAATATTAAATTTGATAAAAATAAAACAAGAAATGTCATGGTATAGTAATTCTAAAGAAATTTTGGCTCGCAAATAAAATTTTTCCTTTATAATTACGAAATTCAGCAAAAAAAAATTTCGTCTCACTTTTTTGTTCATAACTTTCCAGTGGGCATGCAGACGTTGATAGAAACTTTGTGTTTGCGCATGCAGGGTGGAGGCAGCCGTGATTAAATTACAGATTTAATTCAAAAGTAAGTGCGCGCCCGGGTCTCATTTAAAAGCTGCGAGTCAACGAGGCTTGCAGTGCGCGAAATTTTCGCGTATAATAACTAACGACAATTGCGCTCTGCAGGTTGTTTCCTTTGTGCCCGGCGGAATTTTTGTTTCCGACATTACAAAAAAATGGTAATTAAATATTTATGCGGGTCATTATCAAAAAGATGAAAGAGAGGAGAAGCAAGCGCAGAGTGGTAATAAAAAAAAATGCAACTGGAGAGACAGAGAGAGAGTGAGCTCTGATAAAAAGACAGCAGTTTATTATAGAAATGTCATGAAGGTAGAAATCAGATGGCGTGAAATCAGCAGCTCCTGCTGCCAGTCCGCCCGCCTGTTTTATTTATTTTTCATGCATACAAGACTAATTTCACGGGCGTGCCCACCTCAAATAACATTTCCCGTTGAAAGCTTTTCCTCCTTTCTCTTTGTCGAGTGAAAAAAAAAATACATAACAGCGCGTAATTGAAAGACGGGAAGGCACAAAATGGCAGCCGTCTGCACATTGTTTTGCAATCTCGGTCTAATAAATTAATTTGTGTATATTCGGCCGTGGGAAACGGCCACTTGCGCCCGCTGCTGCTGCTTGAGATTAATTATTATTATATCGAGCTAATCCGAGCCTTGTGTTTGATGCACGTATAATCACATTCGTCCGGTGCGATTAATACCGAGAGCTCGCAGAAATTTGGATTAGACGCCAAATTTGCATGCGACCCTCGCCATCGTGACCCTCAGATTGCTCGACTTCACCTCATTTTTCAGGGCGTTGAAGATTTTAATAGCAGTTGCTTGAAAAATAAATACAAATTAATCATAAATTCAACAAACAATTTAATTTAATGGAGAGAGAAAAGAAGAAAATCAACGATTTTTTTATTTCCATTTTTCTCTCTTTCTTGGTTTCAGATACCGAAATGACCATATTTGAAAGAAAAAAATTATTTTGCAGAAAAATTACAGGAAATTCAACTCAAACCCAAGTTTTCCACTTAAATTTTAAATTTCAATCATTTATTAATTTTCTTGTGGAAAATTTCACATTGACTATAATTTACATTTTTTTTCAGGTGCTTGAGCTGACATCCATTCCCGACTTCACCGTAGACCGGTTGTTGGTCAATGACACGTGCACCTACCTGGCACTGGTTGGCGCCCGGATGGCGTCCATCGTCAACTTGCCTGGACGTTGGGGCTCCTCTGGGCTGTTTGTCGCCGGGGAAGACTCTGTTTTGTGCAAGTAAGTGAAATTTTTCAGAATTTTTTTTTTATGCAAAAATCTTTTCAACTCAGCAGTCCACCAAATTTTTTATTTTTATTCTTAATCTTTTTTGATAATTTTTCTAATTAGTTAAAGAAGAATTTGGAAAATTTAAACCTTTTTAAATCTACGAATTTGTAATTTGTGACTCATTTAGCCAAGTATCACGCATAAAATAAAACGTGTGCTGGTGCCTTTCCCGAGAGGGATATACAATTAAAAATAAAAAAGTCTGACCTGAGGAAAATACGATTTTTCCATCTCTCGGAAAATGAAAATCTAAAACTTTACAAGAAATTTCCTCTTTTCTTGAGCACTTCAGTTTCCTTATTTAATACCAAGTGTGCAGGCCTCTCATACTTATTGTTAAACTCGGTTTTATTTTTCTCGTTTCTTAAAGAAATACTCATTTCTGCGACACACATCCGGCTTTTTGCGATTCGTCGCCCTCCGAGAACCGCGAGACGTGTGTATGCAATTATTTAAAAGCAAGCGCTCTTAAGAATCAACTACGACTCTCGGCTGGTGGCCTGAGAGACCAACTTTTGTCGCTCCTCGCGCGACAATTGAAAGCTTTTAATCATTAAAAAATTGCAGCGTGGCGAATTTCTTCTCCTGCGCCGTCGACAAAACACTGCTCACTTTGGCGTTGCTTGTGTTTTTTCCTGCAACTCCCACAGGACACGCTGGATGAGGAGCAGAAAAAAGCAACGCTCTGAGGGGGGTGGAGGAAATTTTTAAAAAATAACACCGGAGCAGTGTACAATATTTTTCTTATTCTTTTCGAGGGCAGGAAAGATTAAAAAAGGAAGAAAATGAACCCCGCGGCCGCTCTATAAGTGATTGTTGCGGATTAAAAGCGAAACGTCGTTAAGTCTGGCAGGAATTCCGCCGAGGACCCGAACGCTCTTATTCATTTTGCGCGGGTGTGTGAGAAGAAGAAGCTCGAAGGAGGACAATGGCACGCGCAGAGCACCGCTGGGCTTTCTTTTATTCTTCTCGCAAGACGTTTTTTTTTTTATATTTTCGCACCAGCTCGACTTCTTTTCTTTGTTGCACCCGCGATGTCCGACGACGAGCACTCATCAAAATTAAAAAATTAAAATCGGGGTTGCTTCAATACTGAATAATGCACGCAGGGTCATGAACTTGTAAACTTTGAAATTCGCAGATCACAAGCGGTCAGAAACACTTTTTAATAAATTATTATTGCTTATTGTTAATCATTCTTTGCAGTACATAAGAAATTTTCAAATTGATCATCGATCAATTTTTTATTTCAAGCTTTGATACGTACAAGTAATGAGGTATTTTACCGTTAATAAAAAAAATCCGAATTAAATTCTTAAATTCAATAAATTTTTATATTGATTTCATACTTTTGCATTATTAATTTCATTTCCTTTTTAAATTAAATAGAATAGCAAACAAAAAAGCTATCGTTTCAGAGCAAAATCAAAATAACATTATTTTTCACTATGCATGGAAATCAATATTAATATTTCATTTAAATGCTATTAAAATTAATTAGAAATTATTTGATAGTAAAACGAAAAGTGGCTATTTCATTAATTTGGGCCCAAAAAATTATATTTCCAGATAAATTGTTTTAAAATTGAATATTAAACTATTCCCTAGAATCTCCAGATAGTGATTATCTTGATTCATGTTTAATTCGAAAATTTAATTTTTTTACCTACAAACGGGGTAGTGAGCGCTGTTTTTCATTATTTTTGAATAATCGTGGCGCACGTGAGGATTCGAATGGAGGCGGATGACGAATAATTTAATGTTGATCCGCGTCTGCTGTCGACGCGCGGTCGGACGGGCAATTTTTCGCGTTCCATCCACTTGATCCGGGGCATTAGGCGCGGGCGGGTGGGTGCGCATTTTAAAAATAACGCTTCCACCTTTCATCCCCCTGAAAATGAAGTCTTACGCAAGAATGATATTAGTCTATTAATAATGATGAGGCGGGATTAACAGACATCATAACAAATGCCGGCGCATACATCTCGCCGCCGCCGGTGCTCCTCAGCACCAGATGATTAATAAAAGCTACTTTTGCCCGCCGCCATGAGAAATGATGTAGTTTTTAATATTTGATAAGCTTTTTCGCTTTCCACCCATCCGTTCATTATTTCCAGCGGCTGCTTCAACCGCCGTCCGGCGCTTAAGTGCAAATTTGCGCCGCGCTCTCCGACGAAAAATATTAAAAAGGGGCCGCCTCCATTTTTCAAGAGGTGCAAATCCTCTCTAAATATATACAAAGACGGTCTCTACCCCAAAGTCTAGAGATTTTTGTAAACCAAGTGACATTATAAATTATTTATTAAGTAATTATTAATGATATATTTTATCTTTTGACAAATTTACATAATTTTTGGTAACTATTTATTATTTAATTATATTTTATATACGTATTTTTAATTTAAGTTATTATTATTTAAATTATTTGTAATTGTATTTGTTTTTTAATTAGAATGTAGATAATTTTATTTGATCTTTATCATAATTAATCAAATGTTTTTGTCACTGCTATTATTTTCCAGGAGTAACAAATTATCATTAATACGACGTAACATATTTGAGTCAGACTTTTCAAACAAAACATTTTTTTGAGATAATTAAGCAATAGAATTATAGAACTATTATTATTAAATTAAATTATTTTTAAATATTGGTATGAGTAAAAAATGTTGAAATTTTTGTTCTTGTGGCCAATTGTCATCATTTTGGGATGCGTTTTAAGACTGAGTAAAGTTTAAAAGTTTTCGCGCGGATTACAAATGAATTTGACGACGCAGATCTTTCTGGCGTTCTCGCCGTGGTGACTTAAGATGGTCGTGGACTCATTAAGTCGCCGCGGCGCACACAACGATTGTGCGCGAATAAAAGAAGCTTGCATGAAGAAGAGAGCAGTTTTATATTACGAGGAGGAGACAACTTTATAAAGTGCGAAGAAGGAATAAAAGAGCCTTCCTGTATGTATGTGACTGAGTCTGTGTTTTAAGAAAAGATTACGCCTACAAGTACTGAATATTAATGAGCAATAAAACTAAAGCCGGCAATTATGCGCCGAGAAAGAGCAAAAGCGCTGGTCCGTGTTCTTCTGCCGGCGTCATCACGTTCAAACAGCCAAAGAGAATTATCTTCGGTCGCGCGGATTTTGAGAGTTGCGCCAGCGTACGTTTTATTGCCGCTGCATGCAAATTGCAAAGCTGATTTAACTTCAAATCCTGTCTAATGGTCTTTTATATTTTGCCCTCTTGCTACAATATCGATGGAAAAATTAATTTTGAATTTATTTATTTAAACTGGGTTTTCAGCTTGCAGTATTTTTTTTTTTCATTTAATGGTTCAATATAAAAATAATAATTAACTCTTGAGTTTAAATTAATTTCACTGGTGATATTTTTTCTTTAACCAAATTAATTGTAAAATAAATTCACAGGTTAGATTCAGAGATAGATAGACAATTAAATTTCATCATTCTTGTTGCGCGGGTTGCGTTTCAATAAACTCTCACTTAGTTTCTAAAAGCAACTGCAAACTTGCTGATCTTTGAATCTCGCCACTTCAAAAAACTGTAACATGAATTCTGACAATTGATAAGTGCATATTGTGCAGTCATCCTTGTTAGAGATTAAAAATTAAAAGATATTTGGATATTGTGGAATTTATGATGTAAAATGACCAGAGTTTCTGAGCACAAAATTTTTCAGGTGCTCAAATTAATTTGCTCCTGCTCCTGCTCACTTCTAAAGTGCTCCCTAATTTCTGCTCCTGCTCCTGCTCACCTCAGGAGTGCTCACCTACATCTGCTCGCGAGCATGCTCCCTCTTGGGGTGCTCGCGAGCAGATGCTCGTGAGCATGCTCACTGAAGGAGTGCTCAATGCTGCTCCGAGCAAATTTTGCTCCTGCGATTTGCTCCCGAGCAGTGTCATGCTCATGTTTGATATGAAAATTCGGCATGTAGGTTTTTAATTAATTCTGAAAGAATATTTATTAAGCCGATATAATTTAGCAAAAGTCAAAGACATCAATTTGATACCAAATTAAGACCATATATGAAAAATTTAATATAAATTAAAATAATAAAATTGTTCCCATAAAATGATTTAATTATTATTTAAAAAGACGAATTGTTGCCAGGAGCACATAAATATGAAGCAGGAGATTGAGTTCTTTTTAAATTATGTACAGCGGAAAAGACACAAGAGGACTGAAGGTTTGCCAGGAGCACATAAGGTGCAGCAGGTTGAACTCAGGGCTGAAAGGGGTGTAGGCGGAGCGTCAGAGCATAGGGATAATGCATTGCGATTATAAAGCGTCCTCCACTGGTTTTTGTTGATCTCACAGTGTAGAGTATAGATTTAGTATGAAATTCTGTTATTGTAGTTAAAATTTTTAAAGCAAATGTGAGCAGAAGGAGCATCTCGAGCATATTTAGTAAATTTTGCTCCTGCTCCGGCTCACCTCTAAAAAGTGCTCCCTATTTTCTGCTCCTGCTCCTGCTCACCTCAGGAGTGCTCCCCTACATCTGCTCGCGAGCATGCTCCCTTTTGGGGTGCTCGCAAGCATTTGCTCGCGAGCATGCTCACTACAGGAGTGCTCAATGGTGCTCGCGAGCAAAATTTTGCTCAATCTTGCTCGCGAGCAGCTCATGCTCAGAAACCCTGAAAATGACTACTAATTATTTCTCCACACAAAATAGGAGCTTGTTACAATTTCCTAAATAATTTCGTAGACCTATAAATTAGTAGGATTTGTAGACGGCATTTATAAAACAATTTAAATCCAGCTGTTTAGTGTCGTTGTATTTTCCGGAGCGGGCTGAACGACGAAATAGTGGCGTCTAATAAGCCCGCACATTAGTCTTGAACAAGTAGTGCATCTTTCGAGGAATTAGGAAAGACGCCCGGCCATAAAATTGTAGCGAAATTATCCAAACGTGTGCGAACTCCCGACTTTCGCT